TTTACCAGGGAAACTACAGAAATTGAGCTACCATCTCAGCCCAGGTCCTCAAAGGCCTTTAGGTGTCTAATCCATAGAAATGTTGAAATCAATGGGAGGTTCTGGGCCCTGCTGCCTAGAGGGGAGCTCTCCTCAGCAGGACTGAGGCATAGGGGCACATGAGGGTGAAGTGGAAGAGCATAGGCGCTGGCAAATCAGAAGAGACCATAGGTCCTCTGGTTGCCTGTCTCACCCAATTCCCAATACTCCATGCTTCCAAGGGAGGTGTAAAAGCCACATGATCCACTTCATCGTGCTGGCACCTGCCACATACTTCTTCAAGACCTCAGCAGCTCATCACAATATGCCCTGAAGTGTGAGGGTTGGGAATCTTTGAAATACACTCTGGCTTGGGTGACTGCAGCTACTATTCTGACTAAGGATATTAAGGACTAGTTGACTATCCAATGAGCAAATGCTTATCGGATAGTCAAGTTGACTAGTCAATTCCCCCCCCCCCCTTTGCTTGCTGCCTCTATCAGCAGCAGCAAAGGGAGGGGGAAGACAGGGTACTTCAAAGTGGCAGTCCTTCACAGAGCCATCTCCTTTCCTGGGCTCAGCTGTGTGGTGCTGTCCCTTTGAAATGCCACTTCGGTGTTTCAAAGCAGCAGCGCTGTGTGGAGCCTGGGGTCAGCGGGGGATTCCGAGTCCCCCACTGATCCCAGGCTCCATGCGGGTGCTTCTACTATGAAATGCACAAGAGCCCCCACCGGGCTGCATGTGGAGTTCCACACCAGGGGCTCTTGTACATTTCAAAGGAGGAATGCGAAAGAGCCTATTGACTAGTCCAGTGTTTCCCAATTTTATTTGGCCGAGGAACCCTTTTCAGCGTTCCAGAATTTCAAGGAACCCCTAGGTTTGTCAAGCAAAAAAAAAAAAAAACCAAAACCCCAAATGAGCTGCCCACCCCCGCTGGTTCCCTGCACCTTCCCCAAAACCATCCCTCACAATCCAAGGGAGTGCAGCACCAGTTCCCTGCAGCCCCCACATCCCAGCTGAGCTGCCCATCTGTTCCGTATGCCCTCCCCCATCCACCTCAGCCCAGCTGAGCCC